TTGTTACGAAACTTACAAAATCTGTTTGCAATTGCTGCAAAGCCGATTAAAAGATAACGATAAAAATTTTCATAAAAATTTCCTTTAACGTTAAACGTTAACATTAACATTAGTGTTAGTGATCTAATTTTTTATAATTTTGTGTTAGTGATCTAATTTTTTATAATTTTGTGTCAGATCTTAAATACTCGTCATAGTATTTCAGCATCAATGGATGCTGAAATAAATCACATGATTAATTAGTTAAGTATCAATATCGATATTAAAAAGCCCTATCTCTATGCTTTTTTTATTTAAATCTACTAATGCTATAAAAATATTCTTTTTGATCATGACATTCAAAAGAGTATACTTTATTTTTCGAGCATTAGAAGATAAACGATGTTTCACTACATTATTCCACTAATGTTTTGAAATAACAAAGTGACCTTTTTGAGTATTAAGTAAAAAGGAATACTATCATAATTTGTACGAATAAGCTTTTTTATAATTGAAAATTTTGTTCAGTTCAAATATAATATTACGTTATATATCAGATATAGCTTTGTCTTATTTCTTTGAATTGTTATTTAGTCAAAACATTGTATTGGTTTATAAAAGACATAATACAAAACCTAACATGAATTCATTTTTTAATGAATTACTTGAAAAAGATGAATTTATAAATACATTTCAAATTTTGCCATGTCTTAAATCTTTTTTATAAATAGGGAAATTAAAATATTAAATTATTAAAAAAAAATGGGTTCTAAGTATATTACTTTAAAGTTCAACAAGAACAGATTAATATACGATATATATCAATATTCTGAATATATTAATAATAGCAATTACCAAATTGAATCCCAATCATATTATAAAGATTTATATGAAAAATTATCAAAACAATATTCATTATTACTCAGTGATATTGGAGCAAACAAATTATATTTTAATTACCAAAAACAAACAGATTCTAATTCACTTTTTAAATTATTAAGCGACTTAAAAAGAAAAGTAGATAGCTCTTATGATCTTGAAAAAGTTAAGAAAGAATTTGAAAATATTACATCACCTAGTTTTTTTAATTTAACTGAGTATTTTGAAGATATTGTAAACAAGAATCTTTCTTCAAAAATTTATTACAGATATAATTCTAAATGCGATATTGCTAATCATTTATCTTTAGAACAATTCAGTTTATCCAAAGAATCTAATTTAAAATTTTTATCAATAAATTATAATTTAGCTGAATGGTTTTAATTAATACAAACATTATGTAAAAATGATAATAAAGTATAAGAATTTCTTAACGTAATCTCCGATTTAGCAATGTTTAGTCAAAATAGACTATTGTTGTCTATCAAATCATATCGATATGATGTTATCGTTACAGTATATGTACATATGAAAACTTTCTATTTAAGTTAATCAAGCACTACAATATATTGGGTTGAGATTTTTTTTAATCTTTTAAAAGATGTCGCCGAAGACTCGAAGTAAGACAATAAAAACTCTACAAGAAGAAAATAAAAAGTATAAAAGATTTAGCCTTATTAATATATCAAATGTCTAATTTAATAACAGTTTAACTTAAATCATAGGTTAAAGTTAAAAATTTCGAAATTGCAAAGTACAAATGAAAAGCTGGAAAATGCATTAATTCTAGCGAATTCAGAACTTGCAAATCTTCGATCGACTATTGAAAGGTAAAGAAAAGCATTTTTTAAATATAATCACTTAAAATTTTGAGAAAAATTTTTAGACGAATCACAAAACTAACGTCAACCCATTATTGAAAATCAATGTAACTATCGCTATTAAATCAAGAAGTATTCAACCCATTTTAATGAATAAATTGATATAGTTGATATAGTTCAACTCATTAATTTCTGAATTCAGTTGCTTTTTATTCATTGTTAATTACATAAACCTATATATCCGACAGGAGAATGACTGAAGGCTTCTATTTCATAAAATTTAAATTTTATACTTGTACATAATAGCATTTTTATGTAGTTTAAATTGTAAATATGAAATGCATTCAGATTTTTAATAAAATTTGTCAATAGCTTATTTCGTCATAAATTTTTTCATGAGATAGAATTAAAATAAAAAAAAAATTGATCAAATTTGATAAGCTAAAGTTTAGACATTCGTAAGAAATAAACTGCGGCTAAGTTTTTTTAACTTTAATTCAATATTTCTTAACATATAACTATTCAAATTTTATAATTTTTTTTTTTATTTTAATTCCACAATCTTATATACTGTAATTGGCCAAGCAGAGTAATTTGAATTGTTTTTTATAGCTTTATAAGTTATGCCCAATTTGCATCGATATTTACCTTATTGAATACCAGATTGCGAATTAATTTATTTGGAAAGTTATATTCACAAGAATTACAGGTCACTCAAACTGAAGTTAATTCAAATATTCTAAGTGACAATATCAATTATATTTAATATTATTAATCAATGTTAACAAATTAAGTTACAACTGAATTTAAATAATCTTCTTACTCACGAGAATAAAAGCAATAGTGTCCAAAACAACAAGTAAAAATTCAAAAAACATAAGTAAAAAAGATCTAGAAGAAATTTTTAAGAATGAGAAAGAATTTAAGAATGAAGCTATTAACCTTGCAAAACTTTCAAGTTATAAGCATTGGTATTGGATTATTACGTTACCCAGCTAGCTGGCTATTCTTGTTAATAAAATCTGAAAATAAAATTATTCTGAAGACTTATTTTATTATAATTTGAAATATACAGGCCGATTTATTATATTAAGATTGGAGAGAAGATTTATAATCCAACTTTAGTGTTTCTATTGATTATTCAAATGGATGTTATACATCTTTTAAAAACAAAATTAATCAAGAATATTAATTATATTTTCTCTTTAACCATTGTTTTGTAGAGCTAATAGAATGTTAATGATATAAAAATGGCAACAACTTTGAATAAAAATTATAAAAGCAAAAAATCGATTCATTGATTAAATTGAAAGATTTATAATTTTAACTTAGAGTTATTCAATTAATAAAATTTTATTTAATAAAAACCTACATTATGTTGATAATTTTGACAGGCGAAAATAGAATATTAAAGATTGTGATAAACTTAATGAAATTATAATGACTTTGTTTGAATTAGCTTTTATTATATAATGTTTTAAAAACAAACTGTTAACT